AAAAATTGACCGTCTAACTGGTGAGCAAAGTACCGTTCACGTCAGAGTGGGCAAAACAGACATCTTAATCACATGCCGATGACTTATAAAATTCGTTCAGAGACTCAGTGGACCGCACAGTGAAAGCAATAAACAAGTTCCTTTAATACTCGCACTTTTAAAGCCTAAACGAAAGGGCAAATTAGGTTCATGTGTCAGAAGAGAATACTGAAACTATTACCGATTAGCACCAAGCGGCCATATCATGCAAAAACGTTAAATAAAACTAGAAAACAAAAGATCGTTGAAGGGGAAAAAAAAGCATGAATATTTTGACGGTAATTTTTAAGACTTCGTAATGCTACTACAAGTAGGCCAAAAAGTGATCGATGCAGTCCAGAAAGGAAAATCTATTATTAACAAATAATAAACAACCATCAATAAAATGCAAACATTTTTGAAACTCCAGACACCAAACATCAGCCATGGATGATCAAAAAAATTTGTTCCAACAACAGCTAAACTTACGTCGACGTTGCAGAGCTGGACAAAAGGAAGTTAGCCGCCCAAACAACAGCACCAAGACGAAAAAAAAAGTATAGAAAAAAATCGATTTCAATGGGTAAACAATAAACACGTTTTTATTCGCACCCTAAACGAAAAATAAAAACAAAAAACGATTTTGTTTCATTTTCTCCGAAAAAATTTAACACAAAAAATAAAAAAACTATACAGTTAAAAACGTTCTGTTCCCAAACATATCTCTATAAAATGTTAAAAATAAAAAAATGAAAGGAAAAAAAGATCATGAAGTCCGAAGTAACCAGAAGTCTTATGAGCTGAAAACCAATAGCTATTCCTCAGGTACTTCCAAATCAGCAATTTCCAATAGTTGCCGCTGATTGAAATGAACGTCACAAAAATTTAAAACTTGAGAGGAAAAATAGGAGCAATTATGACAGCCGGGGGCCAAAAAGCGGAACTCTGGTAGTTCTCTCTAAAAGACAATCGCTAAAAACTTGGAGAATTTTATAACTAGAATGAAAAAAAAATGATAAATAGCGATGAAGAAGCTTTAAAACGACAAAAACATTGAGAAGCGATGTTTGCGCATCTGAAACTGTTAACGATAAATCCAGTAATTGGGAGAGAGAGAAGGAGATGGAGGAGACGGGAGCGGGGACGAGAGGGAGAGAAATGGTGGCAAATGGATGCCACAGAATAGACTTGACGGTCTCAGTACTGAGCGATGATGGTGGTGATGGTCACGAGGCACGTGCTTGCAGCTGTGCCGTCACACAGAGTGAAGGCACGAGGATCGCTCCTATCGATAACATACTGTCATGCTCTTTCAGCATGACACAAACAAAACAAATTTATGCCCAAGAAAGCAGTAGTTCAAATGGATAGATGAGTATGGAAGAAATCGATGGAAGCAGTTACGCTCTCTCCTCTTCATCCAAAACTAGCGCTTTTAGTAGTGCCGATTGTCTTCATTTAACTCACCCCGTCTGAAATACATTTATTTGTACTTAATCGGCCATTACTGTCAACAACATAATTGGCCATCATCACCGGTTACATCTACATTCCAGTGTTGTTGAGCAACAAAAATTAATGACCAATATGAGTGAATAAAGAAATGAAAGAAAATGGTGCGAAAAAGCTGAAGAAAACAAATGAGTAAAACATGAAAAATACAGGATTCCCCTACATGACATAAGAAGAGTCTAAAAAATTTGCAGTTCGATCCTTGTTTACCGACGATTACTTCACCAGAGAAGAACTAAAAAATTAAGTAAACAGATCACTGTCGGATTCAAAAAACTCTATAATCAGACGGTGAGTTTGAAAATTTTTTTAGAATACCTTTGATAAGACCACGGGATTGCTGTCAAAAAATGGAAAGAATAACAACGGATCAGTATATAGGATTAGAAGAAAAAAATATAGATTGTGATAAGAAGAAAAGAAACCGAGAGAGAAAAACAAAACTAGCAAACTTGTTCTCCTCTGCACTTTTTTTCAAAACATCCGTTTCTTTCTAAGCTACCCTTTTCTACATCAAATTAAAGACCGACAAATACAAGAAAATTCCGCTGGAAATTTTTTTCAATAGTAAAAACAGACAAAAAGAAAAAAAAA